CATACACCCCTAACGTTCTCAAGATTTCATTCATACACCCCTAACGTTCTCAAGATTTCATTCATACACCCCGAACGTTCTCAAGATTTCATTCATACACCCCGAACGTTCTCAAGATTTCATTCATACACCCCGATCGTTCTCAAGATTTCATTCATACACCCCTAACGTTCTCAAGATTTCATGCACATTTAAACAACGTGTTTACAGTTACCGAAAATCCTTCTTTTTCATCATTCGAAAAATTCTGAAATCAAGTAAACTTTACTGATAGAGCTACTCCAGAGCTTTGAATAATGAGAAATTAGTTAAGATTCTGTCAAGTTTGGAACACCTTTACCTTTACAATATTAAAGGAGGTTTAGTAAAACCACGTGCTCTTAGCACGAATAATACCCTCAATACTTAAAGTGACGTTCATTAATTTAACTAGTATTAAATATGACGTTTCAAAAATACCTTAGTAAATACTCATCAAACGGAACTATATCAAGGATGTAGAATACAAGAGAATATTCACATTTTTAAAACGATCTCTATTTCCTTCGTTATCTTCCTGAACAAATATAAAATTGTTTAAGTCCTTACAAAATATGTCATTTAATGAACTTATAACTATGTAATAAAGATTAATGATGCCCAAGCGTCAACTTTACGGTACTGCAGAACTGGACGTTTCACAATATATATACGTATATATATATATATTATTAAAACACGAGTGTTTGTTTTAGCGCAAATCCATAATGGACTACCTGCTTTGTCCACCGAGAGAATCGGACCCCGTATTTTAGTGTTCTAAGTCCGTACCGGGTGACTAAAAGAAAGAAAGGCATAATTAGGCACACTATCTGTCATTTCATACAGTTTTTTTTGTAAGTTTCTGCCCAAATAATTAATTGTCGACTTTTATTCTAACGAGGTATCACCCGGAATCCTAGTTAGGATTTTTCTTTCCGTTCTCGCAACGTGACGTATTTTCAAAGGTGTATTCATTGTTCAGGAAGTCACAGTAACTCAATATCTTACTGTTGGTGTGACAGACAGACAGACGGATAAAAATTTATAACGCTAAACTGGTTTGTTGATTTAGAATTTTGGGCGCAAATCTACACAAGGACTATATGCGCATAGTCCTTTATAATTTTAACTGATAAGCTAGAGGAGAGGAAGATAGTCAACATTAACCGCCGCCAACTTTTGTCAACGATGCACTTACAGCACGCACAAGGTCCGAAAATGCAGAGCGTTTGTGTGTGTGTGTGTGAGAGAGAGAGAGAGAGAGAGACAAAGGGCTACGAACCATGAATCCTCGGGTTCACAGTCCGGGAATGATGACTGTTAGGCCACGCCTGGTTCGCCTTCCGTTTGACTTACTTACACTCACTTGAGTGTTATGTGTACACTCACACCCTTGTAAGTATACAACCTTTTCCGTGTTTAACAGTCCGGGAATGATGACTGTTAGGCCACGCCTGGTTCTCCTTCCGTTTGACTTACTTACACTCACTTGAGTGTTATGTGTACACTCACACCCTTGTAAGTATACAACCTTTTCCGTGTTTAACAGTCCGGGAATGATGACTGTTAGGCCACGCCTGGTTCTCCTTCCGTTTGACTTACTTACACTCACTTGAGTGTTATGTGTACACTCACACCCTTTGTAAGTATACAACCTTTTCCGTGTTTAACAGTCCGGGAATGATGACTGTTAGGCCACGCCTGGTTCTCCTTCCGTTTGACTTACTTACACTCACTTGAGTGTAAGTAAGTCTTACTTATTCTTACTTATTCTTACTTATTCTTTAACCAGAATAAGTAATAGAAAAATAAAAAAAAATGGATGTTCTTAAAGCCAGTCCAGTCTTGTATGAAATCATTGTTTAAATTATGATTATAAGAGCTAACAAGTAAAAATAACATCTGTCTGTGACAAATGGAAATGCTGAAGAGATCTAGCGAACTAACGTACTGACCATATTTGACATAGCACTAGGAAGCTGTGAAACTGACAACACCGAAACCAAATAGCGTAGTACCTTATACAACGTGACGCTTAAGATATCAGTAACAGGTGACGAAAGTGGTACTTTATGAGCGCTAGCGTACAAAGATGGCAATGTTTTCGTGTGAAAAGTTTCACACGTGTGAATTGTGCCCTGTTCAAGTGGGAGAGAAACACCTCGTTTCCATTACAGCGGCGCTCGCGTTCCACTTCACAGAATCGTCGTCGTCGTCTGACTCTGGTTGTAAGTTCGGTAACGAGATCCAGGAGGATCAGGTACGCAGTGGATGGGCAGAGCACAGACAGTCCATTGTGTAGCTTTGTGTTTAAATAATAACCAAAACCCAACCGCCACTCTAAAAAACGCATCCACGGGCCCAAAGTACGGAGCGCGTTTGTTTGCGGTAACGAGTCGAACTTTGAATCATCAGATTGACAGTGTTGATAATTATGAACAATAACTTGTAACCTTGACCGCAATTTTCGGAATAAAAAAAATAATGACTCATGAACGCAGCAGGTACCTGACTGAAAATATGATTGGTTGAAGTTAAGCACAAAGTTACACAATGGGCTATCTGTGCT